GTCCCATGATCCTCCAAGTATGACCCTGCTAACCCCGCAACCTCTACAGGCCTCCCGGATCAGGTTCTCTGCCTCGGTCCGGAGGACTGCCTGACATTGCTCACAGGCATCTCGGGATGCAGGGCTGGTGCTCATTAAGGGTTTAGGGTTTAGGGTTTAGGGTTTAGGGTTTAGGGGTTTAGGCTTTAGGACTAAACTGTTTTGGGATTTAAGCTTCAGGGCTGCAGGGGTGAGGCTTTCCGAGTCGACTGGCCTTGGTTCGAGATCCTGTGGTTGCACCTGTACGGAAACAATACGGGAGTTTCCGAAAATAGGGGGTACCTTATTTTGGGGTCCTATAATAAGGATCCCATTATTTAGGATATTATATTGGGGTCCACCTATTTTCGGAAATCCCCATACCAAGACCCTGCAGACATCGCACACGAACAGTAAAAGCTCCGTGAAACTGCGGTCCCAGGGATCCCGAAATCCTGGCAAGCCGAAACCCTCAAAGCGCTGCAGCCAAGCCCGCCTTGGCCAGGTTCATCTCGTGGCGCGCCTCATCATCCAGGGCCTGGTGGTGTCCGGCCGCTGCAGTAGCACAAGTAGAAGCCGTCGCCGTTGGAGCATGTTACCTAAACTTGAGGCCTCGGCCGCATAAGTTGAAAAGGACCCTAGAAGCCAGGCCCCCCCCCCAACAAAAAAAAAAGAGCATCCGAGTTCGCAGAATGCAGCAGCGCTGCCTTCCGGCGCTTGAGGATCTCGAGCTTCTTCTTCGTCTTGTCCCTTTCCGCGGTCTCCACACGGATTTCCTGGCCAGGAATCTTGGCGGGTTTTGGAAGGGCATTGCAGGTGTTTTTTCAGTAAATATAGGCTTTTTGAAGTAGTTACGGGTTCGGGCCGGTTAATTTAGGGGCCTCAATAATTGGAATAGGGTTTCGGGGTGCATTATACAAAATGTATAATAAGGAACTCCCAAAATAGTATGGGTAATTCATGGTAATTCTTTGGGCCCATTTTTCTTTAGGGTTTAGGGTTTAGGGTCTGGGGCTAAGGCTTCAGCTCTCGGGGTCGTGCACTCTGGCGGCCTCGTAGCAGGCCTTCAGATCCTTGTCCAGCTTGCCGTTCGCCTCTTCGTGGCTTCGCTGCTTTAGACTCCGAGTTTAGGGTTCAGGGTTTAGGGTCTAGGGTTAGGGATTTAGTCTACTGAAGGTTTAGGAAATCCTAAATCCACACCCCTCAACCCTACAAGCCCCTCAACGAGAAGCCCCTGAAGCCAAATCCGTGGGGCATGGAGACTTCATGGCCAGAGCGTTGAGGTTCCCTGCAGAATTGCTGGGTTGAGAATTGCTGGGTTGAATTCATAGGGTTCCTTGTAAGGGTTCCTTAAAGGGTTCCATAAGGGCTACTAAGGGTTTAGGGTTTAGGGTTGAAGGCCTTGTGCCTGGAGCGTAGAAAGCCCACCGCTCGAAAACTGTCTAGCTCCCTCTGGTCAGCTTCCGGTCTTCTCAGCTTTCTCCAGACCGCGGCTTGGGTTTGGGGTTTAGGGTTTAGGGTTTAGGGTTTAGGGTTTAGGGTTTAGGGTTTAGGGCTTAGGGGTTCAGATTCAAACGCTTTCAAAATAATTACGTCGATGGATCCCTGGCTGTGAAGGATCGACTGCGCCAAGGGTCCCATTCCTAGCGACCCATATGCAATGGCTCTCCTTACTTCTTCCAAGCATCTAGGATCCCCATAAAAAGGAAGGCTCCCCCCCCAACCCTAAACCCTAAACCCAGGTAAGGGATCCCCTGAACGTCGATAGGGCAGACTCCTCGATGATCGTCTTCTTCAGGCCGCCGTCCTCCTGAGCATCAGGAGCCGGGGGCTTTGCTTGGAGGTTTCGGGGGGTGGGGGGCTCCTGGCAGCTGAGGGCTTCGGGCATTAAGGGCGTTGAGGGCCTTGGCGGCTTCAAGGGTAGGGCATTAAACTGAAAAGAAAAATGTTAACTCTGAAACTCCGTGCCCCTACATGACCACACACCTTGTGCTACCAATTATGCGATACGCCCGAGGATTGCTTTGACGAAGTGGGCTTTAAACACTGAGGACGGAAACACGAAACAATTCATGACTCAACACCTTTAGGAAGCCCGTCGTCCCTCAAACGCACCTGCTTCTTCCGCTTCAGCTCGGCGATGGAGCGCTGCCAGCCTGCCTGGAACAACTGGCAGGAAGACCAGAAACACAGGGACACATCCAACGGTGAAATTCAAGAAGTAATCAGAAGAGTTGCAGCAATACAAGCAGTAGTATCTGCAAGAACAGCACTAAGCATCGTAGCTCCAGCACATACACCGTTGAAAAAACGACTATCTGGCAGGAGAGGCCGCCCGCCTAAAGACAGAGGGTAAGGGGTAATCATAGAAACCGTCATAAGAATCATAAGAGGCCTGATAAGAGACAGAATAACAACAAAAACAGCAAGATTGATGATCATGCTATCAATAGTCATACTGAGCATAATCAATATTGTCATCATCGTAGTAGTAGTAGTAGTAGTAGTAGTAGTAGTAATACTTAATAATGGTGATGACGATGATGATGATGGTGATGATGATGATGATGGTGATGATGATGGTGGTGCTGATGATGACAACAAACAACAATAATTGCAGCAAAAGCAAAAGTAGTAATAAACGAAGAAAGAATGGAACTCCAGGGCGTGCGGCTTTTAGGGTCTGGGGCTTAGGGGGATTTGGGGTGTAGGGTTCAAGCTTAGGCTCAGACTTGGCTAGAAAGACCGACGAGAGCAACACGGACAATGATAGTTATTCTTCTTAATGTTAGCATAACTCATTCCATGGTTTGAGGTGTAGGATCGTGGGTCCTAAACCGCGAGCATCGCAGGGAAACCCTAAAGCCCATGTGCGGAAACCGTGACGGCTGAGATTGAAATGAAAAGGGAAAGCAGCAACAACTCCAGAAAGAAGGGCCATGGAAGTGTCCACAGACAGCCAGAGCAGTTGAGAAATGACAAACATTGCATGCCGACTTATGGAGATTTCAGAGGAACAGGGTACCTTATGCGGCGGGGTTCTTAAAACTATTGAGGGTACCATATGACGATCCCTCCTTATGTCTGAGACCCTTAACCCTGTAGAACCGTTCTCGGTACCTCCTCGGAACCCTTCTAGCTCGCTTTAACGAAACTTACATGCACCAAAAACCTTTGTAGTACCATTTTAATAATACTTATTGCAATTCCCTTATTGCAGTACCCTTATATTACCCTTATTATAGCACCGAAACCCCGGCTGCAATCCTAAACCCTAAACCCTTAACCCTCAACCCTAAACCCTTCACCCTCAAACCTCAACCCTAAACCCTTCACCCGCAAACCTCAACCCTAAACCCTTCACCCTCAAACCTCAACCCTAAACCCTTCACCCTCAAACCTCAACCCTAAACCCTAAACCCTAAACCCTAAACCCTAAACCCTGAACCCAGGCATCTCGGTTTGCCAGCTTGCACGTTGCAAGATTGCAGTTAGCACGCCCGACCACAACGCCTCAAGGC